TAATCAATGGTCAGTTGCTGACCACAGAACAGTTAGTTGTGAAGTACACATGACCAAGAAATGGAAGATTGGCAGTGAAAACAATTCCTCCTTTTTGGTGTAGTTAGCAGTTTAGCACTGACTTGTTTCAACTATGGCTATAGTGATATTTTGGTGAGAATGAGGAAACTGTACAAATTACTAGCAAGAAAGCAAGGTTTACATTAGCCAGCAAATGCTGGTAGACTGGTAAATTAAAATTCTGCCAAACACAATGTCAAGTGATAAATATTCATCCAAAGTCCATATCAAATTTTATTTGGAGAAGAAACCCTCCTGCACTGCCATCATTTCATGACAGAGTTGCACTGATGTTGAACTTTATCACAAATAAAGATCCTGTTTGGTTCATTTTAACTTTGTCTCCTTGTCAATTACCATAAACACCGCATTTCACACCATTCCATATACAAAAAAAGACATGTTTTTGTCATGAACACATAAATATGCTAAAGTTAATGTTGTTTTTCAGTGTAAGAGTTAGAGTCACAGCAGCTTCTTTCTTTAAAACAGTCAATGGTTATGCTCAGATAAAAATGTGATTTCTGTCTGGTTTTCCTTTAGGAACATGGAATGTATTTGTATAGTGGAAATAATTTATGAAACCAAAATTTTCATGTTCATAGGTGAAGAAGCAAGTCAGCATTTATAAAAGTGCTTTTATTGTGTTTAAATCCTATTTTTTTATTGTGGCTGGATTGTTTGATATTGTTGCATCAGGGGTTGCTGGGCCTACAGTTTCTTGTAAATGCAGCCCCAGTGACCACACAGTGTCCAAGCAGTAGAGTTCCTTGGACATGTGCGGAACAGTGGTTCTCTCTTGCTGCCTGACAAATAAAAGAGCACTTGCTTTTAAAGGTGCAATAATTCATTCATCTTCTTCTTTTTCACTGATGCCACACTGGTGTCAGAAGTGGGATAGAATTTTTGTATTTGTCTAATAAACTTCATGATTTACAGACACTGTAACCTGCATAGAAATCTCATAGAGGAAACTAAGCAATCTAGCTAACTCACCATTTATGAACAGTACAAGCACAAAATAATGACAGTTAAACCATGTAATCTAGCTGCTAGACTAAAAATGTAAATGCTGCCTTTCTTTTTCTCTTCAATTTCTCTAGAAGTCAGTGCAGCCAAAGTGGTTTTGATGTTGGTCTTAACCTCAAAATAATAAAGGGGCCAAGAACAATTTTTGGTCTCACAGCACTGAGAAACCAGCTTGGGTCTTTTGAGATTTTATGTGGAATTTTAATGATGGTAAAATATAGCAAATGAGGAAAAAATAAGTTTTCTTTGGGGACTGTTTTTGCCTTCCAACACCCTGCATGTATTCCACCACAATGTATATGTACATATTAGGCCAAAACCTTATGTCAAAATTACAGTATAACAATATCTCAGACAGCATATTCGGAAAAAAATACATATAGTAGCATTTTGTAATGGTACTTTTCCCATCCCATCTTCAGATATCTTGCTCCTACCACCACCACTGTGTACAGTTTTGACTCTGTAAGTTTCTGTAGAAGGAGTGGACTATAAAACTGTATGCATGTCAGTGCATGTTCACCAAAGTTTTGCCCATGAGTTTGTTCTCTCCAGACATCCATCCATCCATCCATCCATCATCTAAAGCGCTTATCCTTCTGGGTCGCGGTGGGGTGCTGGAGCCTATCCCAGCTGTCATCGGGCGGAAGGCAGGATACACCCTGGACAGGTCACCAGTCCATCGCCGGGCAGACAAACAGACATATACATCCACACACTCACTCACACCTAGGGGCAATTCAGCATGTCCAATTGGCCTGACTGCATGTTTTTGGACTGTGGGAGGAAACCGGAGTACCTGGAGGAAACCCACGCAGACACGGGGAGAACATGCAAACTCCACACAGAAACGACCCTGTTCACCTGGCCGGGAATCGAACCAGGCCCTTCTTGCTGTGAGGCGACAGCGCTACCCGCTGCGCCACTGTGCCGCCCTTCTCCAGACATCTGTCACAGTGATTTCCAACTGAACTGAATGTAGTTTGGCTTGAGAAATTGTGCTGTTAAATTGCTAGTATGCCTGGGCTTTGCATGGATGCTTAGCTTTGGTTGTAACAGACTGAAGAACTGCTGAGAAACCCAAGATTGTTGTTTTCGTGGTTTTCCATTTTATTCCTTTACATCTGGTCTCCCAAATGGGACAAATAAAAACAGGAAAGATTCTGTCACGTCTCAGTTCTGCCCATGACCTCCTCGGTTGCCTGGTCCATCTCAGCACACTTATGTAATTTAGAAGTAGCTATGCACTGTGTGTCCCAGTTGTGCCCAACAATCAGAAAGCTAGCACTTCTCAAACAGTCAGGATCTGCTAAACTACCAAGCTCTGTCTTATCTCACAACTCACAGCTCAATCCTATCAGACAATGATCTCTTACCTTCTTTTTATCTCTCTTTCTCTCGTTCTATGATGACTGATCTGATCAGGGCAGGTGTAGGCCATCCATCCTACATGATACTTCTCTTATCTTTCAGACTTTTCCTGTATCTTGTTAGGGCTTTATAATATCTTTCAGTATATCGTTGTTGTCAGAACAAAACCTTGTATCTCCAAAATGAGAACTTTACAGGTAAAGGAAAAAACCTTCTTTACTTTTAATGTAAGTCAATGGAACCAGACTTTTATCAAAGTCATTTTTGGCCATTTCTTTTGGTCCCTTGGTCATCAAATTTGTAGACAATGGAAAGGGCCACAGGCATTTTCAGATTATGTCAAAAACTGAAAGATGCCAAAAATGGAGATACAAGGCTTTGTCCCAACAGCAGCGATCTTCTACACTGAATATGTGTTTTCATCATTTCCACTTTCCTTCATCTCAACAGCTTCTGAAGCTTTTGAACTTGGCAGGTTTCTATGGTGCACCATTAAGCATCAAAAGGTCAAAAGGTCTTACACTAGGAAAATGGTGACTTTGGTGTCCGTGATGGACAGTGGAGCATTACAAGTAGAAGAGGGACACTCTCATCACATGAAAGGTTGAAGCTCTGAAAGGAAGGAGGTTTTCACCTGCTCCATGGATGATACCAGCATGTGCCTTTGAGGACGCATGAGCAATTTTTGTGTGCGTTCTGGGTTTCCATCAATGAAGGCTACAAGGATAAAACATGAGCACTTTTTATTCTGATTCTTGGAATCCCATCACTAGCACACATTTTTAGGTTTCACATCAAGCTAGCCTCAAAAACACTTAGCATAAAGGACTACAAAGGAAAAAACAAAACATACACGAAGGGCACAGTTTCATCAGCCTAATGCATAATAAGTATGGCAGAAAAACAACTCAAATGCCACATTGATTAGTTACCAATGGCCAAGAGAAGATCCTTGTATATCTGATACTTGGTGAATAAAGATTTTGATTCTGATTCTGATTCTAGTGGAAAACTTCAAAAAGAGCTGTGACATACACCTGTTTATGCTAAAAGCTAGCAGGCAATGACACATTCTTGTGCCACACTGCACATATTCTCTCAGCCTTAGATCCTGTTCTTCTTAATGGGGTCAAGGATGTGTATTTGTTCCTGTGAAATGTGTTTGACCCTCTATTGCATCATGTTGCCTCAGGGCAACAAATCAACTTTCCTCAGTGACGTAACATATTTAATAGTGACAAAAGGATTTAAGAGTAATAACGAGAGGCATTTGAACCTTTGAAACCAATAAAACTTGTACTTGGTATCTTTTGGTGGACATTTTGAAATTTGTACAAATGCTGTGCAAACCTCACCTGCATGCCCCTGTCCATTTCTTATACTAATGGTCAAACCTTATTCTCTGCTTATATTGCTCTTGTGTTATATTTTTGCTATCTGCTGTTGACCAGAGGAGGATAGGTTCCACTTTTGGGTCTTGGTTCCTCTCATGGTTTTTTCCTCTTACTCTTAGTGAGTTTTTCTTCACCACTGTTGCCACTGGTAATGCCCGTGGGGGCTTGACCACATCTGTTGTACAAAGCGCTATAGAAATGACTTGATGACTCAAGTTTACATCCTTTTAACATTTAGTATCGTATAAATGCTTTTGTGTTATGAGAAATTTCTTAAATACTTAAATATGGTTGTTGCCTAGAAGCAACATAAGTATCACTTATGTAGCCACATGTAAATTACTTTTTGTTTAGAGTTATTTCTGTGTTTTTTTGTTTATTTGTTTTGAATTTGCCAATGTCTCAAAGCTTGTAACAGACAAATCTGTGATGTAGGTTAGTAAATGGTATATTTTACCAGAATCAGAATCAGTTTTGAACCGATCCTGATTTTTTGAAATTTTAACTGTTAATTTTTAATTGGTTTTTAAATGATCATTTGCTATTACATCATAGGAGCATGTCTTTGAAAATAACTTACATAAGAAGGTGAAGTAGAACTGATCTCTGTTTTTCTTGCATTTTCAGAGTTTAATGAATGATAATTACATGGTTGTTTTGTAGTTTCATTCAACATATTTAACCAAAAAATCTTGTTTTGCATATCATTTCTTTTCACCGTCCATCAATGTTGCCTCAAGGCAACATAGCCCAAAAAGAGCCCTACATTCATAATTTATTATAAACGGTTTATGCAAGAGAAGTGAATTAAACCCTTTTTAACACTTCTCTCACAATGCACACAATAGAGGGTTGGTCTAATTTGATCCATATTCAGTTACAAAGCATAAAGTTTGTTACAAGAAGTTAAGGATAAGCTAACTTGCCCAGCAACTGCCTCAGGTTGTGAGAGTCACATATGGCATCTAAATGCAAAACTCTCCTGGTTTCATTTAGTTGCCCAAGCTGTGGTGCAGGAAGTCTCTGATGGGGTGTGAATATTAATGTAGCAGAGAAGCCCTGAATGTTTAGCTTGCTAGCATTCACAGCTGGCATGCATGGAATTAGCCCACAAGTCTTGGAGAGAAAAGGGAGAGAAGCCCCTACCTGGACACAACGAGAGGCAGAATCAGCATCTTCAGCATCCTCATCAGGAGCTCTCCCGGGAACTGGAAGTACTTCACTTCCTGGAGAGAAAGTGAGACTCTCATCAACAAAACTTTAACCTTGAGATTTCGGTGCATATTGTATAATTCATAAACTCTCAATTTTGCTTAGCCTTGCTGAACTGCAATTGCAAAAAATGTTAAATGTGTAACATTAGAAAGTTTTACTTTTGACTGACTGCAAATAGAAGCCAGTGTGAATTGTTTATTGAACATGTGTGCCATTGTGGTCCCATTTGTGAAGCTTAGTTTTTCATTTCGTAAGAGACATTAGAACCCAGTCTAGTTTCACAGACATGGGTTAAGCCAGTAAACTACCAATGGTGAGTCAACGGTGAGGTGTATGGGTGGGTGATATGATTTGTTATGGTCGAGACTGTTGTTAATGTGGGTTAAATTACTGGCAAGAGTTGAGGGTAGGTGTAGGGGGGGCTCTATAATAGGCTAGAGGGCATGTGTGATTGTTCAACATATGAAGTCATGAGGTTAAGTTTGGAAATTGTTGGTGTAAATGTGGGATTATATGACTGGATAAGGTTGGGGTAAGTGTAGGGGTCAGTTATGTGGCAAGTCAGGGATACGTCATATGGCTAGAGGTGGGTTATGATTGGTTAGGTTGTTGACTGTAAATGTGGTTATGTGACTGGTTCAGTGTGGGGTAGGTGTGGGGATCAGTTACATGACTGGCTACGGTTAGGGTAGGTTCAGGGGTCAGCTATATGGCTAGCTAAAGTCAGGGATGGTTCATATAACTGGCTAAGGTTGAGGGTATGGCGTGAGTTATACTATTGGCTAAGGGTGAGTTAAGATTGGTTAGGTTGTTGCAGGTGTCAATGTGGTTATGTGATTGGTTAAGGTTGGGGTAGGTGTGGGGTCAGTTGTATGACTGGCTAAGGTTAGAGTAGGTGCATAGGTAACTTATATGCTGAAGTCAGGGGTTAGTCATATAACTGGCTGAGTCTGAGGGAAGGGGTGGGTTACTTTGTTGGCTAGGGCTGGGTCATAACGGGTTTAGGTTGCAGGTAAGTACAGGGGTAGGCTTTATTAATATTTAAGGTTGGTGTAGCTGTAGATGTGGGTTATGTGAGTGCTTAAAGTTGGGGGTAGGTGTAGGTGTGCATTATATAATTCATTAAGTTAGGAGATAGGTGTAGGTGTTTCTCTCTCTCTCTCTCTCTCTCTCTCTCTCTCTCTCTCTTTTTCTCTGACCGTAAGGTGATGCTTCTTTGCACTCAGTGTGATGTGATGTGAGTGCAGAAGTACAGATGTGATATGAATGAGGTCTCTCTTCCTTCTGTACTGCAGATAAAGCCTCATAATGATTCTTGGCAGTAGCTCTGCAGCCCACCTGCTCTGTAGAGGGACAAGCTAAAGGCTGACAGCTCTGCTATGCAGCCTCATTAGTCACAGCACAAGACACACACACACACACACACACACACACACATGCTGATGCTTGGCTCTCAAACCAGATATTTTCATTAATAAAGTCCAGGAAAGAATTCAGCCTTTTAAAATTCACAGATACAGATAAACAGGCTCGGCCTTTCTACTGTTGCTAATAATTATGTAATTACACATTAAAAAACACATGTAAAAACTGTGTAACTACTGGTGACATGTTCAGAGTAACAGATGGATTACAGAACACACATTTATTACTCTGCTTATGTGTGAAAGGGTGAGAGGAGTTGAGTTTGAATGAGCTCAACAAGACTTGTAGTTACTGACTGTAACTACATTGTGAGAGCATCTGCACAGGAAACACCAGCTTTCCTAACATTTAGCTAGCTGTTGCAGTGTGCTTGTGTTGTGACATGGTAACCAAACCTCTGGCTCTAATATGACTGTATGCTCACAGCACCAGCACATATAATTAAAAGTAATGTTTATGTAATTCATGAAATATGTGTTTTATTATGTGACCCCAAAAGCAATTACCAACATGTAATTTCACTGTACCTACATTACAACTACACAGGAACTGCCCACTTATTTTAAAGTGTAACTTTTGCATACATGCTGTGGGATATTTGTGCTGTACACACATCAAACCAAAACAAACCAAACCACAGCAATCAAAGCAAACTAAAGGAAAATAAACCAAGCAAAAATAAACAAAATAACTAAACTAAAATAAATCAAACCAAAATAAACCAAACTAAAACAAAGTAAACAAAACTAAAATATATTAAACCAAAATAAAGCAAACCAAACTTAAGTAAATCAACCCAAAATAACCCAAACCAAACTAAAATAAACCAAACCAAACTTAAGTAAATCAAACCAAAATAAACCAAGCCAAACTAAAATAAATCAAATAAAACAAAAGTCTAACTAAACAAACCAAAATAACAAAAACGTACAAATAAGACAACAATAAAAGAACACACTGTTTGTGTTGTGTCATTATAACCTGATAAAATCACATGGAATAATACTGATCTGTAACTTTACAGCACAGACTCAAAGGTAAATCATTTAAAGGCCAGTGAACCTCTGACGCTATGGTGTAAATACTTTTGTTAGGTTGAAGCTGATACTTCATCCAAACCCTCTCTGAGCTGCAGCACTGCTGGCCCACACACACTGACTGCATGTCTGACGGTGGCAGACAGACGCTGCTAAACTCACACTGTGTGTTTGGTGGTGTTTACTGCAGCTCTCGCTGAGATGGCACTGAGCTCTGAGTTTGTGTGTGCATGTGTGTGTGTGTGTGTGTGTGTGTGTGAGTGTGTGTGTGTGTGTGTGTGTGTGTGTTTGTGTGTGTGTGTGTTGCTCTCGTGCTCATCTCACAGCGGCTCAAATGTAATTTTGCACTCATGTAATCTGGGGACTGGATGTTTTGGGCTTTACTCCACACACACACACACACACACACACACACATACATACACACACACACACACATTCTCACATATGACCTCACACAGACAGAGAGAGAGAGAGAGAGAGAGATTTTCATGAAATTCGATTTTTTGGTTTTATTGGTTTATTTGTTTGTTTGTTTGTTTGTTTGTTTGCTTTGGTCCATTTTGTTTGGTTTATATTTGATTTGATTTGTTTCAGTGTGTTTTTTATTTGTTTTGTTCTGCTAAGTTTAGTTTGCTTTATTTTTGTTTGTTTTGGTTTATTTGACTTTGCTTTGGTTTGATTTATTTGGTTTGCTTTGCTTATTTTGGTTTGGTTTGTTTTGTGAACATTTGCTTTAGATTGGTTTGGGTTGAAGTGACTCGATTTGACTTATTTTGATTTGCTTTTTGTTTATTTTGCTTTGGTTTGTTTTACTTTAGTTTGGTTGGATTACTGTGGTTTGGTTCCATTTTGTTTATTTTGGTTTGGTTTGTGTGGCTGGAGGCGATTCCTTCTTCTCTTTCTGCTTTATTTGTGACTCTCTGTGGAAATTTTGTTTAATTTTTGCTTTTTCCAATACAGAGTTCAACGTGCTGAAAGCTGACCGAGGGGGAGGAGGGGGTTTATGGGGGGAGGCGGTGTGATAATGGAGGCTAAAGAGCTTTACCAGCCTGCAGCAGCATTAGCCACAGCTTAGCCTGCACTGCATCACCATCATCACTACGGGTGCGTACGCACCTCTGTGTGTGTGTCCATGTGTTACCTGTTGCCTTTTGACAGAGAAGCAGGAAAACACAGTGTGTGTTTGTGTTGCACAAAAACACACCAAATCTGTCATTCCCTGCTGAGTGGTCAGTCAAGAGGGCAGAAAAAGCTTTCTCACTCAGCATGGTGATGCAGCTAAGCAGCACCGGTCAGGCTTTGCCTGATTTTACCATGACCTTGTAGATAAATCTAGTCCCAAAATAATATATTCACCTCCCCCCCAGCCCCCTCAGTCAAATAAGAATATAATCCTTAAAACGATGTTGCTCTTCTGGGTGTAAGGCCCGCCCACTGCATTCAGCGGTCAAATATTAACAACACTGGTCTAAGATGGTTTCGCTGGTCTGGTGCTGGTTTAGCTGATCACCCAGCGTGGTCATGCTGGCTGACCAGCATACCAGCATCTATAACACAATAGCTGCATTCCAAAGCCCAGGCTGCAGCCAAGGTAGGCCAGGTCCTCGGTAAGACTGTCCTATGAAGACTTCTGCTTAGTAGCCTATTGGTCACACAAATGGAACAGTACTAACAAGGCTGCCCTGGTGACATCACCAGAAAGGGCCCTACTCTTGCAACTGCAGTGCGAAACTTGCGAGGGAACTGTGAGAGAAAATTGAGCCCGCTGCATTGAGTTTGTTGCTTTTTCATTTCTTCATGGAAATGGAGGGGGTGTTCTTATACAGTACGATAAACTACATACACGCAAATACTTCTGAATGAAATACAATATATGGGCAATATACGATATATGGATGAAGGCTTAAAATTAATCAGTCACTTTAAACTTTATGAGGTAACGAAGACGAATTCAATGACATAAACAACATGCAGTTTAAAACAAGACCAAAAAAATTCATTCATCTCAGGAGTTTGCTGCTTTTATTTTGCACTGGTGCTACGAGGCTAATGTAGCTAACAAGTAATGCTACCTTATAGCCACAAACAAGCATCACGCTATCTGAATGCCTGAATCATTACTTCCCTCAACCCACCTCAAGTTGGTAACTAATCTCAAACAGACTTGCTTATGAGGCCTCTGACACTGGATGACACACTGAAATCTATAGAAATAGAAATAAAAGCAGACAAAATTCAGACTTCATGCTAGCCGCTAATGCTAACATCTACAAACCCAATAAAAATCAAATATGCATCAATTTTCTCTTTTCTCAAAATGTAGTTTATCAACCAAGATGTGTTTGGTGGTTTTTTGTTTTGCTCAGGAGTTCAGCTAATGTAGCTAACGTGTATTGCTAGCTAATAGCCATCATGCGAGCTGAATGCATAAATTGTCACACATTTTCCTCAAAAAGTTGTTAAGTAATCTTAAGTAGACTTGCTTATAGTGTTTCTGACGCTGTATGACATACTTTTGTCTATGAACACGGACAAAAGTATGTCAC